GAGACTGGCTATCGCAAGTAGCCATCGAGTAGCTTTGCGCGAAATTCGAGAACAGTATATGTATATATTTTTTAATTCGCCCAGTGTATCAATAAAATTCGAAAATTTTAGATGAAGAACGAATTTGCACAAAATCCCAGGTGTAGTTCGATAAAATGTTATGAACACTCAACAAGTGAAATTTCAAAAACAATGGTATTGTAATTAAAGGGGATTTTTTATTTGCAGTATTTAAAGGGGATTTTTTATTTGCAGTATTTAAAGGGGATTTTTTATTTGCAGTATTTCTAATTTTTTGGTTTGGAGAAAAAGTAGACAAAAAGATATTATTATTATTTAATAAACACAAATAATTGCATATTTAATGGTCGACTTTATGCTAACATGTCTTTAAATATGTTGTTATTAGTATAATGCTAAAGATCTTATATCTATATTTCATATAGATTGTATATTTATGTGAAACTTATTAATGAATATTTTTTGAAGAAATGGCTTTCTGTTCCTCAAGCCATCCAGCGGCTCAACGGTAAGTATGAAAACTTATAACGCTAAATCTCTCGTTTCGTTACCCGTGTTGGACAAAGTATAGATATTCCATTGTGCAGCTTTGCGCTTAACAACAAATAAATTGTTTTTCAATTAGGTTTACTGAAGAACACTACACATGGCGTGGTGGTTAGGCGATCGATTCGCATTCCGAAGGTCGCCGGCTTGAATCACCGTCACCGAATGCTCGCCCTTTCCGCTATGGGGACGTTATAATGTAACAGTAAATCCCACTAATTGTTGGTAAAAGAGTAGCTCAAGAATTGGCGGTGGGTGGTGTTAACCAGCTGCCCTCCCTCTAGTCTATCACTGATAAACTAGGAACGGCTAGCGCAGATTAACCCTCGAGGTGGCTTTGCGCGAAATTCAAATAAAACCAAACGAAGAACAGTACCAAGTTACTTTCACCATTCTTAATGGTATACACTTCGCTATCTTAGGCCCATATATTCCAGTGCAATTTCATTATGTAGTCTGACATCAATGTAGGAGAGAGGAAGAGGTCAAATTTGTATCTGACCCTTCCAGATCCACACGGATCTAAATCCCGACGCAGAGAACACGAAGCGGGCGAAGATATCAAGTTACTAAAGCGCCACCAGATGGTAAACAAATTAACTAACTTTATTCCACTCTGAACGATTTGTGTTTTTTAATTTGATGTAAAGTTTAAGTTAACATTTGGTTAATGGGTATATCAATCACACCTACTTTAAGTACATGTATTTAAAGCCACAGGCGCAAGGCTCAGAAGGCATTGTTCATTTGAGGTATTATGGGATATGTTTGAAATTATTCCTTCCAGTTTTTAGGACTAGTGTTTCTTTTATAGGTAAGTGCGAAGTACTGGAAAATGGGTTCGTTTTTAATTGTTGAATCAATTTAATAGGCATTTGAGATGGTTAGTTTGAATTGATTCTTTATTAATTTTAGGTTCTCATATACAACTTTGTGAAATTATCAGTTTTTTTTCTTTAAGAAAATTATGAAGACATAGAAACGTTCAGTTTTACCCTATGTTATAGCCCCATGGCATCCTAGGTCACAAGAGTGACCACAGTGACCTAAAGGCTGAAGCTTGGTCAGCTGAATTATAAAAGTTAACATTTGATGTGTTTTTTTAGAGTCAGCCTATCATGGTAATATTGATCTTCCGTACAAATGTACTTAGTTGTAACCTAATCGCCAGTGAAACTAATTTTAGAATCTAAACTGTGTTTTATAACTTGTATTTTGCATGTAAATTTTATTAAATTGTTTTTTGTCTTTTAAGTGAATAAGCAGAATGAACTTTTTTTAATGGTTTCTCTATTTCCCCACTCCCACCCCCCTCAATTATTAACTATTATGCTTCTGTTCCTGTCTTTTCATACACCGGAAATCAATCACACCTGCATGCAACATTCCCAATGAAAGCCGAACTAAACACTTCTGTGTTGTCATGGTGATCTTCCATAGATAACGTCACCGAAGAGCGCTTCATTAAGGTTAGCACTTCCTGAACTCATCTTTAATTCATCCTGAACGCCTTCTGCCTTCCGAAATCGCTTGGGATATCGGATTTTTAAAATTTTGTAATTCATCTAATTTTGCGCGATTTCGTAGTTAGTCTATTAAAAGCTGCTTTGCCCCCTCCTGTTAAACTCCTCCGCCACTGTGAATTTACTATATTACCAAGTTTTATTTCTGAAACTTTAACTATTTAATACTTTATTTTCGTTTGATTAGTTCTTATGTAAATAAATTCTTGTGTTATAGGTAAAAACTTACTTTCCATAAAACACCCGTCTTTGTGTATTTAATTTTCATTGAATCTTTCTTTAAAACTACTTCGAAAACAGATCCGAAAATTGGCTTACATATTACACATCCGTGGCAAGAGTATTAACCTAGTGGTAAGTAACAGTGCCGTATGAAATAACCTCTACAATAACATATTACACATCCGTGGCAAGAGTATTAACCTAGTGGTAAGTAACAGTGCCGTATGAAATAACCTCTACAATAACATATTACACATCCGTGGCAAGAGTATT